AGGGTGAATGTAGATGGGTGTGGGTGGGTGAGGGTGAGTGTAGGTGTGGATGTATAAGTATGGACTATTCTTCTTCCACATCAATATCCTCACCCACACGATAAAATCTTTCGAGATAATTTATTTCTTCATCAGATTTTTATTTTCCGGATTACTTGACATATTCAAATATTTCTTAGTATTAGCTGTTTCTGAAAGTTACTGCTCCTATGAATTACATTACCAAGCTTTAGGTACATATCCTAATCGTTTAATTATTCGTATACGATGATAATAATGTTTTAATAAATTCGTTGAGCAACCACGTTCACATATATTAAGAATTTCTTTTTCAATTAATTTACGTAATTCTTGTTCTTGTTCTTGTACACTTTTCATATATGTATTAATTAATGGAAATAATTGTTGTTCGTGTTTATTAAGAAATTCTTGACTATATTTTCTTGCTTGAAGTATTAAAACTAATGCTTGATCATAATTTCTTTCAGCTAAAAGTATTGTTAAATTTTCTTGAGTATTTTTTATCCATTCTTCAGAAAAGAATTCGTCTCCTAAAACTTGTTCTTGTTGAGTTTGAAGTAAAAATTCTACTGAAGAGCGTCTGGTATCTGTCTGAAGTGTACTTTCAAGTAATTCAACCCATTGTTTTTTTATTTGTGCATTTTTACACATGAGAGTTATTGTATCAAGATTATATTTGATTGAAAATGAATTACGTATAATATCATCTTTAACATTAATTATTTGTATTGATACTGCTGGAGAATATTGTTTATTTTCTTCACCATCTTGATTATCATTTATATTTCTTAGATTTTTATGAAGTTTTATAACTTGATCAACATCATAAGCTGTTGCTGAACGAATATTTGTTGATTTAGTTATAATAAAATAATCATTAAATAAAAGACCATAACATGGAGAAGTTAAATGTGATGTTGATGATTTATTTATTTCATCCGTTTTATAATGTTGATTACTTGAAACATTTTCAAATTTAACTTCAAGTAATTTACCGCTATAAATCAAACGACGCGTTAGATTAGTTGAAACAAGACCTAAACTTTCACAATGATGTAAAAGTGATTGCCATGAATCAGCATCTATGGGTGTAGATGCGTCAGGCTAAAATAGTTTAAGTCAAGATTAGATTATTAAATCACTATAAACTATCGATCTAGATTGCCTTAGTAAATCATTAGTAATAGTTACATAGCTAATCTATACTTTATATACTACTAATAAGAGAAGCATCTAAGATGTTCAAGTTATTTTGATTGTATATCGATTTTAATGAAGTATAAAATAAAGTGAAAAAGATATTCTTTCATCAAGTATTTACTTTCAAGATACAGAATTGTTAATATACAACTGGCGATGATTGTAATGATGAGTTTTGAATATTATTTGAATTGATAAATAACGAATAGAAGCATTTTTCGAATATGTAGTGTAATAGTATTATGTTATTTTCTTGAGAATAAATACATAAGTTATGTCTACACACAGAAACCTCTCTATGATGTTATCTAGTTTAATATAGATATCCTATCTTCTATATTAGTATTAATAAAAATACACTAATTATAGTTTACAAAATATTTGACATCTTTTGGATTAACGACGGAGTATATTTAGACTGACAACATACAACAAGCTTGCAAGATGTTGCGTATATACACCGTTATGAAGTTTTTTTAATCTTTGAAAGAAAAAATATTAATCATAAAAATTGTTCGAACATGACATATAAAAAGCCAATAGAAACAAGTTCTAGACACCTATACCAATATATTTTTATTTCGATTAATTCATTTCAACTTATTGTAGGATTTTTGTGCATTTTAGCAATAATTTATCAATCTAGGTAAATCCCAGGTGTCAAAATGATTTCATCATCATCACTGTATTAGTTACGTTACTTGGTTCTTTCCATGTATGAGAGTAATCGTGCACCATTCCTCAACTGTATCGAAAAATATCTCAGCTTTATAATCTTTTTCAATTTTGTAAAATCTCTGTGAGTAACCTTGGTTTCTATTTTGGTCCTTCTGTCAGTTCATAGACTGTAAAAATATCTACGGTGTACTCTAATAATCTTGAAGCAAATATAATGATAATTCGAATAATTTTCATTGGACTATTTCTAATTTAGTTAATGTCTCAAAACAAATAAGCTCAGAACTATACACTGGTGATCAGCAATTGCTGAAATCAAATTCGAGTGTTTCATTTGTAATTCTCGGAAGTTAAAGAAGACGAAATTTATATTATTAGCAAATCGTTTTGATGAATATTTATTAATATCAACTTAAAATAGATAACATAGCATTCTGTACAAATGAGAATCAGTTTTAATCTAAAAATATTCTTAAGTATTCTGCTTAATTTCTATTTTCATAATAAAAGCGATCCGAATTAAATAAAACCAGTTTTTTTGAAGTTGAAGTATTATAGATACCATCAATATCTTCATTAGTTATATAATCATATTTTTCAAAATGTGTGTTAGTAATTCACCCAATCACCATTTATTTTCATATAAGTTGAATAATCTGACCTTATCTTCAATAGTTAATAGTTCTTTAACGGTATTTAATAGTTGTTGTTCATCTGCTAATAGAGTATGTAATTGATAAACTTCTGATTCAAGTGATGAAACTTGTTTAGCTGTTTCAATGAATTTTGTATGATTACGATAAATATTTTGTTTTAAATCCATTTTGGCTTCACTAGCTATTAAATACATACGTCGTTTCATATTTACTAAATCAGTACTACCAATAGATTGTGATGCTGAATACAAAAAAGTGAAGAACAAACATTTTTTTTCTATTTTAAAAGATTATTCATTATACCAATCGATCCAATAAATGATTCCGGCTCAAATTTCGGCTCCAATAATCGAGCACGAAATGATGGATCTGCATCAGTATATTCCATAAATTAATCTGAAAAAAAAACGTGACACTATATTTTCTATTTTAATTTTTAAATGAAGAAAAAAAATAATTCATCAACGAGCTCCAAATATCGAACTACCCACACGAACCATCGTACTACCTGCTTGAATAGCACGTTCATAATCATGTGACATACCCATTGAAAGTTCGATTTCATTCAATTTATAGTTATACTTTTCACATAAATCCTTTCGACATGAAGTTAAAACTTGAAAATCTTGATCATTCTCTGATTGAACATTATTTAATGAACCAATTGTCATTAGACCTTGACAAATTAATAATGGACAATTATTTCGTATATATTCATATAAAGATAGAAATTGTTTTGGTTCAATTCCATATTTTTGTTTTTCATTACTTGTATTAATTTGTATAAGAATATTTAATTTTTGTGATTGTTTTTTAAGAATTAAATTTAAACGATTAGCTAAATCAATTGAATCAACAGTTTGAATACAATCAAGATTTGGTACACGTGTTATAATTCGAGGAACTTTTTTACGTTGTAAATGACCAACATAATGCCAACGAATATCTGGACATTCACTACGAATTAATTTATGATTAGATTTCGTTTCTAATTCTTCAACATAATTTTCACCAAAATAACGTTGACCAGCATGATACAGTTCAATAATATCTTCGACAGGTTTTGTTTTTGATATTGCTATTAAGCGAACAAGTGAATTCGTAGAAGATGATATTTCATTGATACGTTGAAGGATTAGTTTTAATCGAGATGCTAATTCACTCATTTCATATCTAAAAATAGATAAGAGAATTACGATACAAATCAAAACAAACTATTAAATGAGTAAGATTTATTTTATTTTTCTTTAATGGCTGCCAATTCGAAATAATTTTTTCGAGAAAAATGACACGAACAATCACATTTTGTTTGTTCTTCAATAAATCTACTGAAACGTTGTAATATTTTTGATTTATTTAATTCTGTAATATTTCTTTTATTATTGTACTATTCTCATAAAACATGATTGAATGAGTATTACCTGTTGTATAGTGTCAATGAAAAAGTTAATCCAATTGTTTTGCAAAATATTTTATCTAATAATAATTGAAGCGTATATTACAAGCCCCACGACATCTACACTTGATTTGGCCATTCATATGATATCGCTAAGACCAATAGATACATATTCTTATCTAAATTTTCGTTTTTTTTTCGATAAAAATTATGTCAAATTTCGATACTAATAATGTAAATTGTGCTGTTTATCGATCAAATGATTCCATCAATAATTTTAAAATTCGGTATACTATTGACTATAAAAACTAAGAGATTTTTATTAAAATTCTCTCTTTTCCTAGAGTTAAACTAGAACGCTTAACATCTAATGCATTACTACCAAGTTTAGAAAGATTAAAATATGAAAAAGAACTATCTCGTTTACTTAATACAGATGGGAAACCAATTGAGAAGCCAAAACCTAAGAGAACTGAAGTGGTACCAATATTAGATCAAACACATAAATCAAATTATGAAGAAGTTGTCATTAGTTGGCAACAAAAACTTTTCAATCGTGTATTTATATATTTTTTCTTTGGATGTCATTTTTTTTCAATTCTATATTTCATTTAGTATGAATTTGAAAAGTATGGAAAAGATATGGAACCATATAAAACAGCACTTGAACAGAAATATCTTGATGAGATACAAAAAATGAAGTAAAAATGACTGGAAAAATTATTTCATAAAATCATGTTTGATTTTAGAGCGAAAGAAAAACAACCTGGAAGAATATTTACATATGTTGAAAACGATCCATATTGTCTCGAAAGAAGCGTATATAACTTTAGTTTAATCTAATTAAAATAAGAATATTTAGTTTAATTTAGCTTGAATATTTCATGACTGATTCATCGAATGAACAACCAAGTCATTTAGCATTAGGAATTAATACTATTCGTAAGTTATTTTCTGTTAGAGATATAAGACGCTTTTGCTATTTCTAGCATCAATATGTTCTATTTCCTAGATCAACCACGTACAGTGCAGTTACGTTCAAATGCAAGGTTTGTTATTTCTATTGTTTATAACTGATAAATTCATAAACAATTTCTTCAGTAATAAACAAGATCTACCAAAAACGGATCTTATTAAACAAAAACCAACATCTGAGGATCTTCTTATCAATCATTATGGTTCTTTACCACGTCAGACTATGTATATAATGGCTGATTTAAGTGATACAACGAATATGGCTACAACCCAACTTGCTGTTTTTCCACAACCACCAAATGAACATGTTTTATGTCGGATATATTATTCAAATAATACAATTATATTAGAACCAGATTTTAATACTGATAAAATGGCTTATATTGTTGAAACAGGAAATTTAAATAATGAAGTATATCAATATTATTTAGAACACGTTTCCATACCTATTGATTTACCTGATCTTGTTAAAGAACGAAGATTATTTAATGAAATTTGTTTGAAACAACAAACAAAAATAGCACAAATTGTTGGAAATGAATTTGATATTGTAGATTTTCTAAAAATACAGTACGTTTCAGTGATGTATTTTCTTATGTTCTATTTTAGCCACCACCATCTGTTCTTAAGCTAAATGTCTTTGGTGAAATTGTTAGTGGAAAAAATTTCGAATATGATAACATTTATGTTTACTATTCAGTAGATTTAACTGATAGTGAGTTTTCAGAATATGCAAAAAAAATAAATTAAAGTTTTGTAAACTTCATAGATTGGTATGTGGAATCATCTGCAATTTTATCAGGTTATACGCATACAGCAAGTACAACAATGTCGAGTAAATATGTAAATAATCAACTTTCAAATAAGAAATTACAATAACAATAAACTAAATTAATTTCTTCAGGATGACATTGTTTATTATTCGCATCCATTTGAATTTGAATTATGGTATAAACCACCACTTAATACAGCTGATCATGGTAAATACTTCTTGTTTAAAATATTTTCTTGTTCGATTTTTGTTGAATAGAACTTCCTCGAATGCCAAAAATTTATTTTCAAATTTCTTCACACGATTCATGGGGTCGACATCGAATAGAAGGTTATACATATTTCGAAATACCAAATCTTCCAGGTTTATAATTAATTATTATTTCTTTATTGAAAACTATGCTTTCTTCAACAGGATTTTATAATGAACATTTATCATGTTGGAGACCTCGTGGTGATTCGATATTCAATGAAGTTCGTCGGTTTTTTATTGGAGGTTCACTTGAACTTGAAGATCTATCTTATATTGCTGTTCCAAAGTCATTTGACAATGAGAAAGTAAAATGACATATCGATTAAATAAATATTCTAAATATTGTTTTTGTAGGATAATAGATTAATGAATCGTTTTGGTTTTCGTACTGTTTCAACAGGAACATTAAATGTTCGATTCAATGTTGTTTTTCAATCACAGTGTGTAAAGAAAATATGAAACTAATCTGATTATTTTTATTTAAAATAGAAATTTTGCAATCATAAATCGAAAAAACCGGACTACTAATGTCGTTAATCGTTATGGGTATGAATTTTAAATAAACAAATAGTTCAAAATGTTCATTTCAATTTTTTATAGACTCGATACATTTATATCAAATATCAATACTGTTCTTCGTGAGTACATGCGTTTTTACTCTAATTTAAGTTTATCCGATAGTATGAAAAGCATTTGTAAAACCTATTTATCTAGACTACTTTAAACGTAGTGAGCAATAAATCATGTATAATATTGATAATCGCATACATTTGTCAATCTGACCTTCATCTATTGCAATAATTTTAATGGTTCGTAACATTATGTCTCTATCACTTGTATGTTAAGAAATCCAATCATTTGTTTGAAGCCATACTTATATGAATAAAACGAGAACATGTGTATACTTTAATTTATTATTATCGATGTAGTTTTATCTCGGCTATTTTTTTTTCATTAAATTTCTATGTCTGAAAACTTGTATATTTAATTTCAGAAGAATTCGAAGAAGCAAAACAACGTGCATATGAAGTACGAGAATTAACAGCTCACATGCGTACAACTAATACGAATGCATATTATGAATGATTGTATGTCAGATGATTCATTTTGCTCAGTAATTCACATGTAATATTTTGATTATTGTAATTAAGTTATTATTAAATAAATTTGTTTGATTCAGTGTAAATGTTATTATGAACAATAAAATTTCCTGTGATTATAAATAATGAATGCATGTTATTTCTTTGAGATAAAAACTAAGCTTTTATTAAAAAATAATAGTAGTGAACAAAAATATTGTTTTTTCGTAGTAGATTACTCGTTGAATTGCTCGATGATATTTTTAATTACATCTGATCTTGTCTGAGTATTACTTTTCATTATGAAAAAATAACAAATATTTATCGTGTTGCTTTGTCAGGTTGATGAATTGTTTCATCCCAACTAAACGAATTTAATTGAACACGATTTGGAAATTTATATTTTTGTAATGTTAATATTCGCTTCCATATTTCACGCATATTATTCAATGAAGTAGGCTAAATAAAATTAAAATAAATTTTTTCGAAAAATCTCAAAATTTTATTTACAAAATGTCCAAACATAATTGTATAGAAAGATTTTGCTGACATAAAACGTGTATGTGCTAATTGTTCAGGAATCGTATATAATGAACCAAGTTGAGCATATGTTGCATTTGCTGCACTAGCTACTGCTCCAGTTATATAATAATCATCAACCCAAAAGAATGGTACATATAAACTAGCATTATACCTAGAAAATTTCATACTGTAATAAGTTCTATTACATTCAATAAACTTACATTTTTGTTGGCATATCACCCGTAAGAATAAAAGCTAGAAAAATAGATGAAATTATTATTTTTTATAATTAATTTTTTTCTCCTATTATTTATACCTGAACCGCTGCAATACGGTGGAAATGTGTCAAATGGAAAATCACTTTTACTTAAGTACCATTTTGATTTACTTTAAACAAAAAAGAAAAGAAAATTTTTTATTTTTTAAAAAATATTTTTATTTTCTTTATCAAACCTGTCTCTCATAACCATCATTGCTGTCCACACTAAACAAAGTATAGTATTATGTTGTCCATTAGTACTATGTTTTTCAAGAAATTTTAAATGATTCAATAATGTAAATGTATTTACAACGATATCATCATCGACTTTTAAAATATATTTTGTATTTGAACAATATGTTGATATCCATTTTAATGCCATTATACCTTTATATGTTAAATTTTTATATGAATCAATAAAATCTTCTTGTACAATATCTCGATAGATTTCATTTTCATATTCAATAGCTTTCATAAGATTTTTATCAAGAGTTTTACCAATCATAAATATAAGCCGGATATCAGGAAATAATGTTCTTGTTGCCCATGTTTCACGTATAACAACACGTCGTTGATAATTTCCTGGACCAGAATGAACGTAAATAAAAACATAAACAGATGGATTACTACTATTACATATTGAATAACCAGGATTAAGTATATAAGAAAAATTATGTGGATTAACTATATGATCACGTGGTGTATATGGATTTTTTATTGTTGGTACTGTTACACTCGTATTCTGACTATTTATTGAATAAATATGAATAAAACATGCAATAAAAAGAAGAATCATTTATAATTGTATGACCAAGATTCTATCTGTAAAATAGAAAAATAATTTCGTATTTTGTTATAGCTGATAATCCGATGTTAATAGTTATTGATTGAAATTTGATCTGTCAAATATTTGATCAATTTAACTTCTAGTATTATACAATTTAGAAGAAGATGAACATAGAAAAAGAAATAAATAATGATGATGCGAGAAGAAATGAGTGCCATACATGTTTGTATGTATAAAGAGAGAAGATTTGCGTTTTTATTTCTTTCTTTCTTCCTGTAAGGATTTTCTTGGTTACATACTCATTTGATTGGTGTGTATATGTGTTTCTTTTATTTTAATGCTTGTAAGGGTTTATTTTATATACTAAAATTAAAAACAGGACAAAAAAAAAGGAAAAAAGAACTGTCTCATTCTAATGACTGGCATTGATGTTGCAAGGCACATTTATATTTACTTTCTTTTTTTCTTCTCGATGACGAGAGAAGGTATGCGCGCTTATGCTGTTGTTTGTCAGTTAAATATGTCAAAAGGAATGAACAAGTTCAGCAAAAAAAAAAATTAGTCAATAAAAAGAAAAAAGAAACTATTGTTATATTATATATGATCGAAAGATAATTGTCACAGGAAAAGGAAAACTCTAGAGTATTGTTAGGATCTAAGTTGACATTTCCTTTCTAAAGAAAAAAAAGAATAACATGCTATATGTATGAATACGATACATCATCCATGGTTGAATTAATCTATTTTTTTTGTGCTTTGTTTCTTATATATAATAAGACTTTTCTTGATAATATTTTATCAGAAGATATATTATTGAAAATCAATTTAATGGCAATAAAATTTCTTTTTTTTTTCGTATGATAGTTTATAGAATGGTTCAATTAGAATTATTATTGCTTACATAACATTTATATTGATGCTTTCTTGATAATATACAAATAATCATTCAATGGAAACATCTATAAGCAAATATATTAGAATATATATATGTGTATATCGCATAATCTAGATATTTCTGCTTTCTATATAGAAATAACCAGAATGTGTCGTTGACAATCGATTAAGTAAGTACATAAACAGCCGTTAAGAGAACAGATGAGGACGAGTACGAAGGTCGAAAAGAACTGATGCTGTTGTAATATCATATCAACAAGAAAGAGAAAAGGAAAAACGAGTTATCCTATATAAGACATTACCGGTTGATTTGTATTGGTATCAACATACATTTTACACTCGTACAAAAAATAATGTATATATTTTCGAATATAATCATAAGTTTTTTAGGATATATAGCAATTTCTTCAATACTTACAGGTAAATAATAATAATAATAATGAATATAATTTGATAGAAATTCAATTTATCTATTAGATGCATTTCGTAATAATGCAGAAGAATGTTGTCAAACAGGTCGAATTCAAGCTGAAAGTACAAAAACATGTACTACGACATTACAGTCATTGATAACAGAAAATAATACAACTCTATCAGCAAATTGTCGATTTTTAGCACATATATGTTGTTTATCAAATTTACGACATTATTTTTGTGAAGAAGGTTTAAAAACAGCTTTACGATTAATACCATGTAATGACACAAAACTTGAATCAAAAGATACTTATCAGGTATAATTAATTTAATTTTTTATTTTAAATAAATATTTATATAAAATCGATTTTTTATTTATAGATATGTTGTAAATGTTGCGAATTAGGTGTTCGAGCAGGTAGAGAACATGAAGATTGTGAACCGGTGACTGTACTTGATGAAAGATGTGGTGAACAATTTACAAATTGTTGCAAAAAAGCAAAATCATGTAATATATATATGTTAAATAATTACATCGAATATCTTTTTTTTTGTCTTTAGTGAATTGTGATAGTGGTTTTGAAATGGGAGATAGTGGACGTTGTCATGGTATGTATATTTTTTCAAGAAAAATATAATAATTTTTGCAATATGAATTTTTTTTTCTATAAGACATTAATGAATGTCTTTCAAGTCCATGTGCTAATACAATGAAATGCGAAAATACACCAGGTTCCTATCGATGTGTCGAAGGTTGTGATCCGGGTTATATATGGTCGCTTAAACAAGGAGAATGTCGAGGTAAGATTATTATAATTTTAACTGAATAATTTTCTTCTTTCTTATATAGATATTGATGAATGTGCTCTAAGTAGACATAATTGTTCGTATGGACATCGATGTGAAAATATGCCTGGATCATACAGGTAATTAAATTTTCTATATGATATGTATTTATCTATCTATCTGTCTATTAATAGATGTATCCGCGAGAGAAATTGTGGTACAGGTTATCAAGTAGATCCGATAACACAAACATGCATTGGTAAAAGTTCGAGTTATATTTAATTGATTTATTTATGAATCTTTTTCTTTTAGATATTGATGAATGTGAACAAGATATTGACGAGTGTAGGCAAGTGATTAGTTTGATTTGTTTTCTGAAATTAAAATATAGATATCTAACATTGTTTTTTTAGACCTGGGTATTTATGTAAAAATTTACCTGGAACATACAAGTAATTATAATTCAATATTTTGATATATTTTAAAATTATTAATATAGATGTGCACCACAAAATTGTACATTTGGTGAAAAATTCAATGCCTTTTTTGGTCGTTGTGAAAAAATTCAATGTCAACCAGGTTACAATGTAACTGCATTAAGTAAATGTGTAGGTATGTTGATTATATAAATTTGTATTTATTTTGAAAATATTATTTTCTTGTTTTTTTTTTGTTCATCAATAAGATATAAATGAATGTGCACAAAAACCAAGTCCATGTAAAATGGGAGAACGATGTGATAATACACCAGGTTCATATAAATGTGTACAAACATTTGCTTGTGCAAATGGATTGGAAATGCAAGATCTTCAATGTTTAGGTTATTTGAAATAAAATTTTTCTTTTATATAGAATATTTAAATAAATTTTTTTCTTCGTCTTCAGATATTGATGAATGTGAACTTGGAAATCATACTTGTCTTCCACCGGCAACATGTAAGAATACATATGGATCATTTTATGTATGTATGCAGGCTTAGTAAATATTTTTAGTTCTATGAATTTTCTTTCATAGTGTCAATGTCCACCTGGTTTTATATTTAAATATGGTGCCTGTGTTGGTATGTATTTTATTTATGAAAGATAAACGAATGATTATATTTTTCATATTTAGATGATGATGAATGTGGACGAGGAAATTCAATTTGTCCAACGAATTCATTCTGTCGTAATACTCCTGGATCATATGCTGTAAGTTTTATTAAAATTTACTATTAAATAAAAAATAAAAACTGATCTTGTTAGTGTGATTGTATTGGCGGTTATAAAATGTTAGCTGAACGTGCATTTTGTGAAGGTAATTGATTAAGTAAAAAAAATAAAACGGATTTTATAAGAATTTCAT